GGGTCTCAGGAAATCACTAGGGTGGGGCAAACAGTGTGAGCCAGGTTGATAATGACTCAGATATGGCACCTGCTTGTCGGCTCTTTGGGGGAGGGGGCTCAACAAAGGAACGGTGGCATGTGCCAGCACTTTTGTCTGGCAGAAAGCTACCCTCTTTCAGCTTTACTCCAATAACTAAACAATTGAGTACCTCCCTTTATGTCCCTGGTTCCTTTCAAGCTGCTGCCCCAACACTGGAATTTGAGTAAGTCCTCACATGGGCCCTTTAAGAGGAACTGCCTGGGACTCCAGCAGCCTCTGTGTCACTCAGCCACAATAACCCACTAGTTTTTATAACCTAAAGTTATGGGGACTTCTCTTCCTGGCACTGAAACCCTGGGCTGGGGGGTCTGGTATGGGGCCGGGACCCCTTGCTCCTCAAGGGGGGTGGGGGCCTCCACAGCCAAGATATCCCTCTCAATTATAAATTGCCACATGTGGGTGTGGGACCAATCTATCCCATGTCTCCACCCCTCCTACTAGTCTCAATGTGTCTTCTCTTTTAATTCCCTAGTTGTAGGACTTCCACTCAACTAGATTTTAGGCAGTTCTGAATGATGGTTGTTCTCAAGTTTAGTTGTATCTTTGATGTGATTGTGGAGGATTCAAGTACTGCATTTACCTATGCCACCATTTTGACCAGAAGCCCCTGACCTGCAGTTTTAGAAGCACTACACTAGGAAGTTTTGTGAGAGGAGAGAAGGAAGCATAGGGTTCTGGTGCTGGGTGGGTGGAAAAAATAGGAGATAGGTCCCCAAACATGACTCAGAAAGCTTGAAGATAAACTTTTTTAAAAAAATATATTTTTTATTGATTTCAGAGAGGAAGGGAGAGGGAGTGAGAGATAGAAACATCAATGATGAGAGAGAATCATTGATCAGCTGCCTCCTGCACTCCCTCTACTGGGAACCGAGCATGTAACCCTGGCATGTGCCCTTGACGGGAATCGAACCTGGGACTCTTCAGTCCACAGGCCAACGCTCTAGCCACTGAGTCAAACCGGCTAGGGTGAAGATAAACTTTTAACAATTTTTTGGGAGTGATTCTCAGAGGAATGATGTAAGACAAGCATATCAAACTCAAAGGCTAACACGGGCCAAATAAATGAGGCATGTGGCCCGTGGGCCACGAGTTTGACATGCTTGATGTAAGAGGAGGAAAGATGAACAACAACCCCAAATTCATCTGAATGAGTGAGAATGGGCACCTGGTAGTAGCCTCTATGCTAGATTCTCAGAAGCCATGATCTAAAGCCCACACAATTAACAAAGTATAGATGGGCATAATGCAGCAATTTTCAACCTTTTTTATCTCATGGCACACATAACTAATTACTAAAATTCTGCAGCACACCAAAAAAAAATTTTTTTGCCAATATTATAAAAAGATAGGTATAATTTTGATTCATTCACACTGGACAGCTAAGGTTGTGTTGGCTGTTGTCATTTTTTTAATTTGACAATCTAAGGGAAAAGAGGTCAGTGCTTCTGACTAAATAGTCAAGTATTGCATTTAAAAACTTCTTGCATCACACCAGTTGAAAATCACTGACATAATGCAATCACCACCACAACAAAATTAAAGCCCGAACATTTATTGCATCCTTATGTTATATCAGACATTGCACTAAACACTCTATATGAGTGATGAGACATAAATCAAGTTTGAGTGCTTCTTCTTTTCTTTTTTCCTGCACTAAATAGGGTCCTGGCTTTATCCAGTTTCTTCTCCTGCCCCATCAGTACTGGGAAGAAGGAGAAGGACTCAAAAAACATTGGTTAGGGCTGGAGAAGACACTTTGTAAGGAGCTTGGGAGGAAGGAGAGGCTGAAGCTGTGGGATGTAAGAGGCTTGGGTAGAAGGGAAAAACACGTTAGGAAGGACTTCAGGGGCCTCTATATGGTGCTTGAGAAATGCAAGTATTGAATATGAGTTAATTTGACATTACTTCTTGGTGACTGGACTGGGTTTCTTAGATTGCAGCACCACTCTGAGACTGGCTCATAGTTTTAATAGGATAGCATAGCATTATCTTATTTTATCTGCATAACAAACCATGAGGTGATATATTATTTCCTTAGCTCAGATTAAAGAAAGGAGGCTGACACAGGCTAAATAGTCTTAAGGTCATAGAGCTTCCATAAATGGTGGAGCCAGGACTAAAATTTAGGTCTTTCAATCTCCAAATTATAAGCTCTTAACAAGATCATAAGCAAAGATTATACTATCAATTAAAAATAAAATACATAGGAGGAGATTTAACAAAAGGACTGTAAGACTTGTACACTGAAAATGACCAAACATTGAAAGAAATTAAAGATCTAAATAAATGGAAAGGCTACCCAGGTTCATGGATCAGAGGACTTAATATTGTTAAGACAGATATCCTTCCCAAATTTATCTACAAATAGAACACAATCTCTATCAAAATCCCAGCTAGATTTTTTTTCATAACTTGAAAAGATAATCCTAAAAATTATATGTAAATGCAAGGAATCCAGAATAGCCAAAACCGTCTTGAAAAAGAACAAAGTTGATGGATAAGAAGCTACAGAAATCAAAACAGCATGGTACTAGCATAACAATAGATATCCAGATCAATGAAATAGAATTAAGAGTCCAAACATAACCTTTAATATTCATGGTTGGTTGATTTTTGACAAAGGGCCAATGCACTTTAATGGGGAAAAGAATACATAGCGTGTACTAAGAAATATATATACACACTTTGATTATAAAGTCAGTGTTTATTAACATACAGTTTCTTTTCAAAATCTAAAATAATCTACAGAAATTAAAAAAAAATTTTGGTCAATGTCTGTTTTCAAGCTGATGACCCTTCTGGTCCAGGCACTGCTAATAATATGAAGCAATGGAATTGAAAAACATCAAGAATCATTTTGTTTGGTATTTCCACGCCCTCAATTTGTCAACTGTTGCTGGTTTTGTACTGTAAACTTTATCTTTTATGTATCTCCATAAAAAAAGTCTAGTGGATAAATTTTCTTTGTTCAAAGCTTAGTCTGGCTTCACCCATTATTTGAAGTCAGTTAAACCTGAAAAGGAGTGAAAATTAAGTGAGTTATCAGCTGACAGAGGGTGTCTCAATTTTCCAGTAGCATTTTAGGATGAATTTCCTTTGTTCAAAGCGTAGTATGGCTGAAAAGAAAGAAATATCAACTGAGTTATCAGCTATTAAAGTGTGTATATATGGGAGCACCCTGTATTGTTTTTTAAATAAACTTTTAATTTTAGAACAGTTTTAGATGTGTATTGTTTTTAAATAAACTTTTAATTTTAGAACAGTTTTAGATGTACAGAATTGTTGTGAGAATAGTTTTTTCAACAAATGCTTTTGGGACAACTGGATATCCACATGATAAGAATAATTTGAATTCCTACCATACACCATAAAAATTACCTTAAAGTGGATCACACACCTAAATGTAAGAACTAATGGCTGAAAAGAAAGAAATATCAACTGAGTTATCAGCTATTAAAGTGTGTATATATGGGAGCACCTTGTATTGTTTTTTAAATAAACTTTTAATTTTAGAACAGTTTTAGATGTACAGAATTGTTGTGAGAATAGTTTTTTCAACAAATGCTTTTGGGACAACTGGATATCCACATGATAAGAATAATTTGAATTCCTACCATACACCATAAAAATTACCTTAAAGTGGATCACACACCTAAATGTAAGAACTAAAACTGTAAAACTCTTAGAAGAAAACTCAGGTGTAATTCTTTACGACCTTGGGTTAGACCAGCCGTGGGCAAACTACGGCCCGCGGGCCGGATTCGGCCCGTTTGAAATGAATAAAACTAAAAAAAAAAAAAGACCGTACCCTTTTATGTAATGATGTTTACTTTGAATTTATATTAGTTCACACAAACACTCCATCCATGCTTTTGTTCCGGCCCTCCGGTCCAGTTTAAGAACCCATTGTGGCCCTCGAGTCAAAAAGTTTGCCCACCCCTGGGTTAGACAATGGTTTCTCAGATATGACGCCAAAAGCACAAGTGGTAAAAGAGAAGATTGATAAGTTAGACTTCGTCAAAATGAAAAACTTTTCTACTTCAGAGAATACCATAAAGAAAGTGAAATGGTAACCCACAGGCAGGGAGATAATATTTACAAAGCATATGTACGTATATCTGGAATATATGAAGAATCCCTACAAGTCAAAAAATAAGAAGACAAATAATCCAATTTAAAAATAGACAAAGGATTTGAGTAGATAATTCAGCAAAGAAGATATACAAATGGCCAATAAGTTTATGAAAAGATGCTCAACATCATTAGTCTTTAGGGAAATGCAAATCAAAGTCAAAATGAGATACCACATCATACCCACTAGGATGGCTAGAATAGAAACGATAGACAATCAGAGTATAGGTGAGGGGAGGGGCATGGAGGGATAGGTGAAAAATGTAAAGAGGAATAAGAGGTACAAAATTCCAGTTATAAAATAAATAAGTCATGTGAATGTAGGGAAAATAGGCCATGGTATCATAACTTTGTAAGGTACAGATGGTTATTAGACTTATTGTAGTGATCACATCACAAGGTATATAAATGTCAAATCACTATGTTGTATACCTGAAATTAATATAATATTGTATGTCAACTATACTTTAAAAAAATAATTTTTGGTGAGGATGTGGAGAAATCAGAACTCTCACACATCACTAATGGGAATATAAAATGATGCAGCACTTAGGGAAACAGTTTGTCATTTCCTCAAAATGTTAAACATAGAGTTAGTTACCTTATAACCCAGCAATTCTATTCGTTGGTATCTACCCAAGAGACATGAACACATATGTCCTTATAAATACTTGTACTCAAACATTTGTGGCAATATTATTCATAACTGCCAAAAATGAAAACAACTTTAATGTTTATCAATCAGTGTATGAATAAACAAAATGTGGTATATCCACACAATGGAATATTATGCAGGCATAAAGAGGAATGAAATACTGATATCATCTACATGAATGAACCTGGATAACATTATGCTAAGTGAAAGTAGCCAGACATAAAAGACAATATTGTATGAATCCATTTATATGAAATGTCCAGAAGAGGCAAATCTATAGAGACAGAAAGAAAATTAATGTTTAGTTAAGGCTGGGGGTGGAGGCAAAGGAGGCATGACTGATAATGGGTACAAGGTTTCTTTTTGGGGTGATAAAAATGTTCTAAAATTAGATTACGGGTCACACAATTCTGTAAATACGTATACTAAAATCCATTGAATGACACATTTTAAATGGGTTAATTTCATGGTGTGTAAATGATATCTTAGCAAATTGTGTGTGTTTTTTAAGTGAATGAAATGAGAGAAATTGGGGGCAGCAAGTATAAACAAGTCTTCCAAGGAATTCCTTGAACTTGTAAACATTTTATTTTTATAATTATCGGTAGAACTTCATTTTTATAACCAAGGAGGTGGGTTCTCCAGATGGAGTAGAGGTTAAGGGTGTCATCACTTACTCCTCTGTGTCCTCAAAGAGATGTTTTGTCCAGTTATTTGATTTTTATCCTCTGTTCGAACCAACCCCAGAGCATGCAGTGCAAGGATCTATGTCTCACTTAAGCTTTCACTCGTCATTTCTTCTCTCCTTTCTTCTTCTCTTCATGTTATCCTGGTCCCACAAGAGAGGCTAAAAAAAAAATAAGCCTCTGTTCATTTAAAGGAATAAATACCTGTGTATGTGAAGCAAGCAAGGCCACTGAGCCTTTGAGGAAACAGAGTGGGGAGGTGCCCATAGGCATTTTCTGCAGAGAGAGTAGAGAAGAATAAACAAGTCCTTCTGCCAAAAATGCCTGGAACTTAAAGCGCTTTCCTCAGCTCAGCCCAAGGTCAGGCTCTGTGTGCATGTTGACAGTGACCCTGGTCAGTTGTTGCTACTCTCTTGATTAAATGGTGGTGAATTTCTCCCTTCGGAAATTCACCTCTGCTGATTCCACCTGCTGGGGAGTCTGGCCTCATAGCACAAGTTTAATTCCTCAGCGTGGCAACCTGCAGAGCTCCCAGAACAAGGTAACTGCATCCATTTCCTGAGCCAAGGAGAGGGGTCCTGAGACCAGCCATCGGCCCCACTGTGGGAAGGAAAGCTATGGCGTGACATTACTGAGGCCACCAATTCCCTACCCCCTTCCGTAAGGGGCTGGAACTTCTGGTTTTTCCTAGAAGAATTGTGGAAAAGTACAAACCACAGAATCATAAACCACAGAGGGAGAAGGTACCACTGAAGCCACCCGTCCTCGCCTGGACTTGAGCACCACCACCGACAGCACGCTCACCCAGTCCCAGAGAGGCACGAAGCCACCCGTCCTCGCCTGGACTTGAGCACCACCGACAGCACGCTCACCCAGTCCCAGAGAGGCAGCTGAGTCCTGGTAGGACGGTGTTAAGGACAGTAACTGTTATGTCAGGTCCCGTCTTGCTCCCTGTCACTTCCAGCCCCACCTCACACTTTGAAGCCAAATCATTGTTCCGTCTCTCTCTCATTTTCAGGCTTTCAGAGAGCTATCATGTAGTTTTGAGCCTGCCCCAAACTTGTGCCTTTAGCTGCACAGACCCTCCAGCCACACCCTCTGAGGGACTCTGCCCACTGTGCCCTCAGACTCCTCATCCACCACATGCCACCAGACCTGCCTGGCTTTCTGTTCTCATGCTAGCTTCTCACCCCCTCTTGGACCCTCCTGTCACTGTGGGTATCCCACCGACCCTCAGACCCGGTGTTGACCTATGGAGAGGGCATGACACCTTCTACCCCAGAGAGGTCATCCCTAATTGCTCCACTAGTTTTTGAAGAATTTGGTTTTAAGCCCCATCGTTACCTTTACAACCCCCTCACCTGGACAGGCTGCCCTTGGTCATTCTTCATTCACTCACTCCAGCCACTCAGCATAGTGATTAAGAGCACAGGATTTGGGACCAGACCATCCAGGCTCTGCCACTCACCAGCTGTGAGGCTTCAGAGACATGTCTGCGTCTCTCTGAGCATTCCCTTTCTCAGCTAGAGAACGGGAAATGATAACAGGGTAATAAATGAAATAATCTTTATGAAGTACCTGGCACAAAAGCTCAAATATTCACTGTAAGTATTCCATATATGTTCTCTACTAGTACGTTTTAAAATAATCGCTCATTCACTCATCATGTACTTACTGAGCCCCGCACCGGGCCCTGGGATATAAATACCCCTCCTAAAAAGCGGTTCCCTCTTAAATCCAGGAAGTGCCAGCTCACACCGGCACCCAGAGAGCAGAGAACGGAAGCCCAGGACCATCGCACACAAGCAGACAGGAATAGACACTGACCCCTGGGCACTGCCCAGGGAGAGCAACAGGACCGTCCTCTACATTGACACGTCTCCTTTAATACCCCGGCAACTCCCTGGGTGAGTGAGCGCCACCAGGAAGCGGGGGAGGTGAGAATCCTCAGAGAAACTCTCTCCCTTGCTTCTCTCTGACAGAGAGCGGCCATGCCTCTGCCACGCAGGAGGGCAACATCCCTTGGGGAGGCCTTGCTGAGTTGCCTGGTACTGTTCCGGAAGGAGGAAGGGTGGCCGGGGGTGGGGAAGCGGCTGGAATGTTCTAGCCTGCTGCTCCGTACAGCGAGAGGAGGGCCCTGGACATCAAAGGTTCCTTTTGTCCCCTTCCGAGTGGCAGGGCAGCCCGGCCTCTGGTGATGACTCAGGCCTGGCCCTGACGTCACCCACGCCGGCCACTGGCCTCCCTCTGCAGCCAGGAAACTGCCTGGGGAGTGGCATTCGCAGCTGCAGCAAACCTCAAAATCAGGAGGCACTGCCTCTCTGCTCCTCGCCATCTCCCCACAGCACACTTTTCTTTTCTTTTTTATATGTATTTTTTAAAGCCTCATGGAAGGTTTTACTTGTAGATCAACTTTCAGAACGTAAGGAGTCAGAATGGTTGACGTCATGAGAAAAATATGTGGAGCTGATTTCGACGAGAAGTGAAGAACCCAGAGCAAGAAAGCGGTTCTCACTCCTGAGCCCAGGGAGTTGGCAGCATCTGGGTTTCAGAAGAGACAGCAGCTCCGAGTAAGTGAAGGCCCGCCTGGGCCCCCTCACTCCACGCCCCTCACGTGGGCACCTTCACGTGGGTGCCATCTTGTTCCCTGACACCTAAGGCTCAGCAGGCCCAGGCCAGAGGGGTGAGTGGGGACCCTCCAAATACAGCACTGAAGGGACCTATCTAATCTCTCTCTTCTCCACAGGCCGAGACAAGGACACATTTCCTCTCAAAAATATTTCTATGCACTAAGACTGAAACCCTGGGGGAAATGGCCCAAGCTGAGCCTTCCCTGTCACCACTCTTGTTTTGTCTCCTCTTCCTCCTCCCGCCCGCCCTGGCGCTCTGTGTTGGACTGCCAGAGTGTTTGTTCAGAGTTCTGAACTGTTTGCTTCCTGGAGCTTATACTGAGTAATCGGATACAAAAATAAACCCTGTTCTAGGCAAATATGTGCCCTGTGCCGTCAAATGATATTTTCGCACTTAACCTGGTAAAAGATGGCAGCTCTGATAAGAAAACATCCCCAACCTGCCGCCTTTACAGAGCATGTCTCTGTTTGTCCCTGGTTGTCCCTGGTTGTCCTGGTGCGGGCACCTCCATGTCACATTGCCCTGTTTACACAGAGCTTATTTTCTTGTGCCACCTAGGGTGATATAAAACACAAAGACACTATAATGTATCCCTAGAGTCTGCTTTAACTTCACCTATAAAAATCTTAAGCCTTTGTATAGCCTATAATTTTACAAGCTCTGAAAGCTCCTACCCAGGAAAGGTAAGTTCCTGAGAGAAAAGTCTTAATGTGTATAAAAGAACTGCAGAGCACGTAGGCATGGAAATCATACCTAGTTTTCCTAGCTTCCAAAATCATTCCCTCAGTCAGCATCTACCCTTTGTATAGCTTACTTGGCTCAGTAGACTTGTTCTTTATAAATTCTGTTTTAGCCCTAGCCAATTTGGCTCAGTGGATAGAACGTCGGTCTGCGGATTGAAGGGTCCCGGGTTCAATTCCGGCCAAGGGCACATGCCTGGGTTGTGGGCTCCATCCCCAGTGTGGGGTGTGCAGGAGGCAGCTGATCAATGATTCTCTCTCATCATTGATGTTTCTATCTCTCCCTTCCTCTCTGAAATCAATAAAAATAAATAAATAAATTATGTTTTATAATGATTGGTGTGTGGAGGGTATATTAAAAATGATTTTATTTTATAAGCAATGGGGAAGCTTGTCATTTACTGCAAAACAGTGGTGAATTCCTTTGGAAACTGGCAATTCCCTTTAGGAATTAACCATTACACTCTAATATATCTGTTCTGTAGATCTTACATTTTACTTTTTGTTTCATTTTAATATATCAGGTTGTCTTGAAGTTGAGGCTTTGCTAAACTACTGTTCATCTGGCTACAAGATCTGAATACTGTGACCACCAACTTGGTGAGTGTCATTTATATCTAATGGCTACTTAAATTAAGTTTACTAATTCGGTTCTTTTGGTTTGCAGTGAAATTTAGGGTAAAGGGAGAAGGCATGGGGACTTCTGCACACAATGATAACAGCTGAGTATCAAAAAGGATATGTAGCCATGGCTGGTGTGCTCAATGGTTAGATCTTTGGCCTGGGCACCAAAGGGGTCACAGGTTCAATTCCTGATCAAGGGCTTGTACCTGGGTGGCTGGTTCCATCCCCAGTCTAGTCAGGGGGCATCCAATCAATGTGTCTCTCTCTTTCCCCATCCCTCCCTCCCTTCTTCTCTCTCTAAAAATCAATGGGAAACAAATATCCTCTGGTGAAGATTAACCAAAAAGAAAAAAAAGAAGAAGAAAATAAAAAGGATATGTAATAATTAGAATAGGCTAATTTCTATAATAGACCGAAAAATGTTTAATGGCTCTAATAGAAGTTTATTTCTCTTTTTTTTCTTCTTTTTTTTTCTTTTTTAAAGTATTACATAGGTCTCCTTTTTCCCTGATTGACCCTCTCCCGCCACTCCTGCCCCCCAGGACAAGCTCCCACCGCCCCAGTGTCCATGACCATTGGTTATGCTAATATGAGAAGTTTATTTCTTGTTCATGTGCCACTGCAAGTTAGTGGGGCATCTCTCGCTCATACATTCAGAGATAGAGATGGAGAGAGGCCCCACCTTCTTCAGCATGTGGTTTTCAAGGTCATGTGAGACTATTTCCATTTCTCAGTAGAAGAGGAAAAAAGCATGAAAAAGTGCACACGGGAGGTTTTCATGGGCCATGCCTAGATGTGATGCACATCACTTCTACTCACATTCGGTTGACTAAAACTCTATCACACGGCCACATCTGACTGCAAATGGGTCCGAGAAATGTAGTCCCTGGGTGGGGGTGGGAGCCACTTCCCAGAGATGCTTTGGAGAGTATCTGGAGAGGAGGTAGTCCTCTTTGGCCCAGCATAATACAGAACTTAGAGATTCTCAAGGATAAGATAGCAGAATGAAGCAGTGAGAGAAGTAAAAAATTATCAGATATTTAGAATTTCTTTAACTGACACTCGTAAGTAACATCTGGCTCTGTGGACAAAGAGCAGTGGGTAAGATTTTTCAAGATGCCTCTGTCCATCCTGACCCTGAGTCTTTCCATGAGTGCCACCATGTC